ATCTATAAAATTTTAAAAATAGTCAAATAAATGATAGTATACCTCATGCATTAATTTATGCAAATCATCAGCAAACTTTCCAATAATATCAGCACAATCAGTATCCCAGAACACAAATTGAAACTTTGATTCACCATCAAAAATGTATATGTATACTTTGTACCTTTTTATATAAAATTTATATAATGGAGATGACTCAATATAAATATATAAAAAATAAGAAATGAATACAGAATTGTGCATAAAATACACTTAAATCATATAACCTTGCTATAGCTCGTGTAACATTTTCTTTACATGAACATTGATACGGTTTGTTCAAATCAGGTTCCTTTAAAGAGCATTTGGTACATCCATAATAGAACCAACCATGCTTTGAAACAAAAAACTTCTGAGTAGTTGCTACAGTGACGCAAAACATATCCTAAAGAACAACCAGTTAAAAATTATTAGAAATATCATTAAAGTATAACTAATTATAATTGTTATCCAATACTATCTGTTGGAATATACATGTTTGACCTTGCAAAGCTCACTTAAAGAGATGCACTTGGCCTTATGAACAAATATTTCAACTGTTGTGTACTGGGATGCACCAGACCAAAGATAAATTGATTTTGAGGATTGAGTAGGCTTTTCAGTCTGCTCATTAGCAGGTAACCTATAACATTATAACTCAATTCATGTAAATAATTGTCAATAAAAAAAGGTCTAACTGAACAATAATAATGGTTAATAGTATTACTTAGAAAAAAACTTAGTGATCTCTGAAATATCTTCATTAATTAGTAACTTAGAACCACTCCATCCATTTGAAACTGAAATTTCAACAAAAAAAGTTAAAAATTGAAACATAACTGACATAAACACACAAAAATAAAACATTGTAAACCTTGTGAATCCTTGATAATTGCATGAGTCAGAACAATTACAATAGCACCACTATGAGTTGCTTCATTGTAGTAGTCCAAAAATCTAGAACCATAGTTTTCCCATAACATGCAGTTGACTACTTTACCACTATTTTGAGTACATAAATTAGACATATTAAGAACATATTCATATGAAAGATTGGAACTTAAATAACAGGATTATCCTGAAAAAGGGTAGGAATGAAATATATTACGACAATTCTTTCAAATTCAGTGAAACAAATGTCTTTTTCCCTGGAGTATTATTCTGAAAATTGTTGATCTCTTGTACAGTACCAATGATATCTATAAAAAAGAATGAAAAAATTCAGTATAAATAACTATCTAAAATAATCATTGTTAATAAAGTCCCCATAGAAAAATCAAAACATATGCATATTATCATACCTTCAAGTCTGTTAAGCTGACATTTTCCTTCAAGGATATCTGAAAAGTCTTTGAAATAATAGCTTTTAGTAGGAAGGTTCGAAATATCAATAGCTTTAAAAGTCGTACCACCAAGAAACACGAACTTCTTCGAATGATCACAAAGCTTCCACTGAAAATCATTATCAAACACAGTGCCATTGTTGATTATGCAAGTCATATTTTCTTGAATTCGTTCCTTCCATTTTGGTGTATGGTCAGCACGAATCAGTACTTGAATCCTATCACCCTGATGACATAAGAAACCTAATCAATAACAGTAGAAAGTTATTTTTCACAATACATTATATGATTTGAAAATTTTGCAAAATGTTACAGCTGCATCCATGATAACCATCTTCAAATGATCGACGCCCTTGCTGTTAATAACGCTCCATGAATCAAGGACTCGAACAACCAATCTCCATGTTTCCTTTGTGTTGTTAATGTCCTTGACACAGTCAAATCTCCTACTCATCTTCTGCTTCTGCAAAGATAAAATAAAATGGATTAATTTCAGGAAAAAGTCAGTATATGTTTGTTCTATGTAAGTTGAAATAACGACTAATCTTGATATGATGGTTTAGGGTTTCAATCAAACAATCTGAAAATCAAAATACAAAAGCAAAATTGTTGAAGAATACTGTTTAGGGCAGAAATTGATTTCTGGGTATGTAATGGAATCACAAAGTAGATGAATGAATGAAAGAAATTGAGATGAAGGGTCATCTCATATAAAGAGGGAGGAAACACCAGAGAAAGTGCAACCGAAAGAATTCTAGTGCAATGGATGAGGATTCCCAATGTTGGATAATGAAGAAATGAATTGGAAACTGCAATGATTATATGTGAAGAAGTTAAAAAAAGTTAAACAAATAATTAAGTTGCAGAATTTTTTTTTAAATTAAATAAAATATTAGGAACTATAATGACTTATATGTCCTTGAAAATCTTTGATAAAATTAGTTTTAGTTGGTTAATGAAGTAATTATGATGGTAATTACTTTTATTATATTAAAAGTAGATTTGTTTAGCAAGTCATCCCTTTTCATTAGGTAGTTGGAGTTTGTTAGGTAGTCAGTTATTTTTATTTTTATTAGCTAACTAACTCTCTTATAAATAAATTGATAAGTGTCTTTGAAATTGTTTTTATGTTTGATATTTGTTTAAATTTTAGTAGTTCAATGTTTATTTTTATGTGTTTTCTTGTATTTCTCCGTATTTCTAGAGTTTTAAAAGAAAGCTAACAAGATCAAGTAAGTTGGACGAAAACAAATGATAAATGCATAAACAGGAGCCATAAGTACACAAAACCAAATTTATTACGACATGTCCATAGCCAACATTATATGTTGTAATGGGTGTAACACAATCTTTCTAATTTTGGCCCTCATACAGTAGTTCATGGGGCATTACAGCCTACCCGTAATGGACCCTGTTTCAACATAGGATTCTATTTTTTAATGCACTTTTCTCAGACTTCTTGGATTCCAACCGTTTTTATCAGTTGCAAAACACCAATTAAGAAAAATTACACGGGTTCACTGTGTAATCTTGCTTTATATTTTTGTTGCATTTTGTATTCAAGCTTTTGTTGTACTGTTCAAGACTCCTTGGAGCAATTTAATTCAAGTTTATTTTTCTGTAATCAGGTTCTATTATTCTCTACCATTATTATTTTTGTTATCATGTATGTAATTTATGCCTATGTTGTTTTATTGTTTGTCATGTCTGAGTAGACAACTTTAGAGTTTGAGACATGAGGATTATCGTATCAGCAGACCTCATGCACGTTTTTTAATGTTGATTGTAACGAGAACTATAATTTGTTATGCAATTTTTGTTTTCAAAAGCAAATATGTCTGTTACGAAATTAGGAACACAAAGACATCGTTTATAGGCTGAAAATGTATAAACCGTGACATTGGACTCTAAGATTGCGAAAGTGTTTAAGAGTCAACTGAGGAAATTATTTTCTTTTAAAAAGGTTTCTAAACATATAAATTGTGTTGCGAAAGTAGATGATTTACACGGTTAGAACTCGACAATACGTTGACGAAAGTGGACATTATCACTAGTTTTAGAGTTTTCTACATAATAAAATTCTGTGTTATAATTGATACAAAACTTGTGTGAGTGAATTCCATTGACAAGAATGAAATCTCAATCTCTTATTTTTAATTATTAAGAAATGCAAAAATTATATTTTTCTAGTACTTAAAACTCATATATTTGATTATTTTGACTAAACACTTAAAGAATAAAACTCACTATTTGACTTTTGATTTATGTGGACATTTTCGTAAGCTTGCAGCGTATCATAAGCCTGTAATGCACCAATCATAACTAATGAACAATGTAATTCACTTATTCATTTATTCTTCTCTAGCTTGATTATGAGCAATAAATTGTTGTTATGGTATCAAAGCATGATATCAAATGAATAGAGAATAACAAACAAAAATTTAGAATAAATTTTATTTTGTTTTTTCTATTTAGTTTCTCTACAATAATACTAATGTTTACTAGAGTAATTGAAGAAAAAAGAAGAAAATTAGAGCAATATTTTGATTCAAAACAAAATCTTTTATCATATTTTTAAAAATTAAAATAAAACCTTTGATTTTTCAATTTTTGATTGATTTTTGGTTCAAATCCCAGTTCTCCTACAATTCGATTTTCAGATACAAACAAATTGATTAGAATTTTAATTTTCGTTGTGATTGGTTGAATTGCCCAATCCTATCAAAATTTGATTACATGGTCTTAGAAAAACGTATGAGATATTAAATTAATAATACACATGAGTAACCCGTCATTGAAAATATGATAAATTAACATTTTAAATTAAAAGAAATAGAGAAAAAAAAATATATATTAATAGTGTAAAATATTTTTACACAGTCAATCAATGAAGAGTGTATATTCAACAAAATCACACTTTTAATTTAAAAATATTTATATAATATGATATAATAGAATCTTTTACATTATTATATGATAGTGTAAATATTTATATGTAGCCTATGACATACTAGTAGTTCGGATCAAGCTATCTCTATTTGAAGAAATCTTTGGAATTTCTTTTTAAGACGAAACATCCTTCTATTCAGAAAAGGAAAACAACGACACATCCAAATCTTTTCACCGCATGAATCTTAGCTCAATATGTCGAATAATAAATCATGCCAAAGTTACCAAAAATAACAACAATAGTCCCATCCCATCACATCAACACTCATCACACACCACAAACTGAAAATCTCATTGGCTTCTTCATGGGACCCATAGTTAATAATGATTAATGCTAGCAGGACCAAACAACACGCGTCAAGAGCAACGAACACCCACGTAGGTGGTCATAGTGCACACGGCCCTAGAATGCTTGGACTTTTCAACCTTCCAGAAACTTCTTCAAAACATTAGGCTAAAAACGAAAGAAACAATTAGCGGCTAGCGTAACGCCACGTGGAAGTTGAACCACGTGACATTCCTACGTGGCACACGCATTGAACTGAAAATGATACGACCTATTTTAAACGAAGCAACCAAAACAACACATTAGGTCAATCTGATTCTTCTTGCAAAAATTTCTCGCTCAATAAACAGAAACCGCCACAAAATAGTTTTGAATTTTACTTCATTTTTGGTGGGAAAATCGTCATGAATGGCGAGGAGTGTGAAGAAATGGAAAGAGTGAATGAGAAATTGGTTTACATGTGGGGTTATTTACCGGGAGCTTTGCCGCAAAGGACGCCGTTGTTGAGCCCGGTTCTCGTTAGGGCTCCGGCGAATGGTTGTAACTGGAAAGATGTTTCCGGTGGTGGTTGTGGATTCGCCATGGCTATATCTGGTGCTAACTTGATTTGTTGATCTTTTGAATGTTTGCTTTTGTGTTGTTTTGTTCATTTAATTGAAAATGATTCAACATTGCTCATACTTTCTTCTGTAATCAGAACAAGGAAAGCTTATCACATGGGGATCAACGGATGATCTTGGCCAAAGTTATGTAACTTCGGGAAAGCACGGGGTAATGAATAATCATATTGTATGATACTGTTTCGCGCGATTCTTTGTTGCTTAATTAACATTTTCTAATTTACTTGTAAAGGAAACTCCAGAGCCTTTCCCTCTTCCAGATGAAGTTTCTATTGTACAAGCTGCTTCTGCGTGGGCACATTGTGTTGCTGTAACAGGTAAGTTTTATGTTGTCATGTGTGATGTGACTGTTAATTTCATGAATACCAAAACCAAAACGGATTTAAGAATTTTTATCTATTTGGGTAAGAGGTGTCTTTCTAGTTTCATGATATAATTAAATTTTGCTGTTCTGTTGTAGATTGTGGACAAGTTTACACATGGGGTTGGAAGGAATGTATTCCTTCTGGGAAGTTATTAGGTGAACCTTTGCCAGGGGTAAGTTCTGCAAAAGTTGCACAAGGAAAGCGGAGTTCGTTCTTGACAGAGCAAGGTATGTCTAACCTCTTTACAGTGGACATTTTTCCACAGATACCTGCCCCTCTCTGGAGGTGGTCTAAGCTTAATCAAGGTCTACAAAAAGGAGTTGGGCGAGCAGGGAACTGCTATGATAAAATATACAAAGTATGAAATCCCAACAAGAAAGAAGAATTGGGATTTGCCACTTTATGACAGCAAAGAAGGATACTTAGGCTTTATCTAACGAACTGATGTAGAGTGGTTTTGCAACAGTCGGCTCTCATTCAGAAGTCTCAAAGTCCATCGGAGGAACTGCTTCCAGTGGAGAAGAAAGTACTAAGAGAAGGAAGGTATCTTCAGCAAAGCAAACAGCTGAAATCTCATCATCTGGTGATGATATTCTGACAGCAATGCCATGTCTTGTCACACTAAACCCTGGAGTAAGGATAACAAGTGTTGCTGCCGGTGGCCGTCATACCCTAGTATTGTCAGGTATTGACTTCATCTTAGTCTATCTAGGTTAACATTTTATCTATGGGGCCATCTTTTGGTTTAAGCAGTATTTTTCGTGCTACAGAAGATCAGTAATAGCATGTGATTAACTGTTACTTTCTGAATTTTTCAGATATAGGACAGGTGTGGGGCTGGGGCTACGGAGGCGAAGGGCAGCTTGGTTTAGGTTCCAGAATACGTATGGTGTCCTCTCCCCATCTTATTCCATGTATTGATTCCTCTTCGTATGGAAACGATATATCAACATCGCTGGCTCAAGGAAGCACAAGTTCAGAGGGACAGAATTTTAGGATTCCTGGAAGTTATATAAAGGGTATTGCCTGTGGAGGTCGACATAGTGCAGTAATCACAGGTACACGTAGGCCAGTCTTTTCAGTATCATAAATAATCTTTTAGGATGCCTGCATTGGTTTCTCTGTGGGAACCATCAGTTAGAATATCCACTTGCTTAATTTACGCAATTCTCCTGACTGGTATCAGGATTTGTGATTAAAGGCGTTTAGAAAGAGACAACGCGTCTACTTTATATGTAGTTGTTTGATTTAATGAGAGGGAGAAACAATAACAAGTCCTTAAATTTATATAAATATCAATAAATGGTGTGTATTTCTTGATGCTAGATTAAGAACTGTATAGTAACAAGTCCTTAAATTTATGAAAATACCAATAAATGGTGTGTATTTCTTGATGCTAGATTAAGAGCTGTATAGTTAAAATATAGAAAATTAAGCAAATTCCATAGTTGCTTATTGTATCCTAGAATTCTTCTAATCTAGTTTTGATCATTTCAAAGTTCATATAAACTGATTTTCTAATATCTAACTGCTGAAATGACAGATGCTGGAGCTGTGCTTGCGTTTGGTTGGGGACTTTATGGACAGGTGATTTAAGTGACCTAGGGATACTTTTGGAACCTTTTCTCTACTTGCATTTCCTAGTTGGAAAAGTAAATTATTTCAAGTTATCTGCATGTTCCCTCTCTTTTTTTGGCTACCTGACTAAGGATATTGTTAACCGGCATTGCACACGCATATCGCTCTTGTTTTAAAGCAAACTCTGGAAGTATTCATTGTAAATAAAATCTCCTGGTTTGTTTTTACCGGTGGTAGTTTGCTTGGATCCTAATATTGGAGAGCATATTCTAGTGCAGAATTTCTCTCGGGGAAGACAAGTAGTTCACCTTTTGGGGATCTCAATAAGATACAAAGATTAAATGAAAATTTATCAGTTGGTCTCCATGTGTTTTCTTGATACGAGATGAGATGTACCAGCCCTTGCTCGTAGATCTTCTCATAAGTATCTCCTTATTGGTGTTATCTTTATTGCTTAAGTTTGCACGTCACCTACATCTTTTTACTTTTGCTTAACTAAGTTATACTTCAATCAGTTGCAATAAATTTGCATACAACAAGACTTATTGTTTCTTTTAACCATTCTTTAGGGTCAACATGTAGGTAAGTAGAATATGAGAGGCCAAAAGCTATGTAGATGTTGAAGATGAGGTTCACTCTAACAAGGGATTATCAGTTCCATTCTTTTAAAATATTTATCTTTTTGATCACTCTCTTGGTTGAAGCATGCTAATGCTTGTTATACTAAAATAGTGTTGTCTTTTTTTGGATAAGTGTGGGCAAGGAAGTACAGATGATGAACTAAGTCCGACCTGTGTGTCTTCCTTATTGGGTATTCGAATAGAAGTAGTTGCTGCTGGCCTGTGGCATACTGTCTGTACATCTGCTGATGGTGACGTATATGCATTTGGTGGAAACCAGTTTGGGCAGCTGGGAACTGGTTCTGATCAAGCTGAGGTACCCCCTGACATGCCACAGATATAATATGTGATATTATTTTGTAATTATTAACTTGAATTATGGGACAGACTCTACCAAGACTACTGGATTGTCCGAACTTGGAAAATGTCAACGTAAAGACCATATCTTGCGGGGCTCGTCATACTGCTCTAGTAACAGGTATGCCAGAACAATCAGACGTGCGTATGTCATTTTGGTATCTGCACATGCAAAGCAATCCTTCCACAATTTAATTCACATTGAATGCAACTCTAATAAAGGCTGTTATTTGAATTCATGTATGATTTCTCAATAAAATCCCTTTTATAAAATGGAATCTAGTAGGTATTCTCAATCAAGTACTGAAATCTTAGCACTTGACATCTTCCTTTTGTTTTTGTTTTTGTTTTTATTAGTTCTAAACGGCTTCCATCAAAAGAGACGTTTTACCTCCTCAACTTCAGTTAAATGTGGAGGTGAATATGTTCTTTAATCTTGTGGTGTGATATCACACTAAGAGGATGTGTCGTAAAAAGGATTAAGGAGAGAGTAGTTAATAATGATGCAACTACTAACTATTAACTAACCGAGTGGAACGTTAGAGAACATATATAGGAAGCAAAAGAGGGGCAATTATAAACAGAAGGGAAAAGAGAAGTTAGAGGTGGTTAAGTAACAACTGAGTGAGAGAGTTTTGTTTTGGGGTGCTCTCTAAGGCGTGTTTACATTGTGAAAACGTTTTTTATTTTCATTTTCTAAAATTTGTTAATTTTATTTGCTGATAAAGAGATACTGGACTCTTAAAGTCAACAATTGTGTATTTTTTTGAAAAAATGTAAATGCCAAAGATTGTTTTCATTATTTTAAAAAATGCACCATCTCTTACTTGTATTTCATTCTCTCCATCACAATTATTCATTTTAAGAATTTCACATCTTATCAGCAAGTTAACACATTTTAAAAAATGATAACATAAAATGTTTTCTCAAAGTAAACGAGATCTATGAAACCCAATAGAAGAGTGTAGAGTCTTACTCTAGTTACATTGAAGAGCAATGCTAATACAATTATCCTAGCCGTGTTTCTTTTACTTTCTTATTTCTTTCTCTCTTAATACCAGTTGAATCTATCAAAACTTCAAAAGTCAACAATGACATTCATGCTAGTTATTTGAATAATCTTTGGAAGGTTGGCTACATAAATTGTTAAATGTAATATATATCATAAACTAATAAATTTCGTATCTTCTTGATTACATTGGAAATATAAAACATACTGTCACTTGCATTCCTATTGTTAATAAATTATCCTTTTGTTTTTGTTTTGTCAAGATAACGGAAAAGTCTTCAGCTGGGGATGGAACAAGTATGGACAGGTGCGTTGCCATTTTTACCAGTCTCCACTTTATTTCTTTATTTTAAACATGACTATTATTGAAAGTTCTACCTCACACGCATTTAGGTGATAAGGCTGTGTAGTGTGAATTAAATGGCAATATATTCATGGTCTTGTATTCTACTGTTCTCTAAGTTGTAATTTCTGTTTGTGTTAGTTGGGCCTCGGGGACGTGATTGACCGCAACATTCCTTCTGAAGTAAGCATAGAAGGTTGTGTAGCCAAAAACGTTGCATGTGGTTGGTGGCACACTCTTCTTTTGGCCGAGTCTCCCACTTGATGCCATGGCTTCCTCAAGACTTTGGACCCAATTTTGTTAGCTAGTTGTTCTTTCTATTATCGGTAAGAAGGAGAAATCACTAAGTTATAGTACATGTACATACATTAGTGGAATGTATATGCTTGTATTCTTTCATGGTGTGAATTACCATGATTGGTTCTAGCTATTAACATCATAGATAGTAATTTATGGTTTGTGGGAAGGAGATTTTGGATCCTTTCCATATATGTAACATTATATTTCGTAGTGTATATCTAAGTTTATAATTAGTTAGAAGTTGGTATACTGAATCCTTACATGAAGCATTGTCTAGTGCCTCTAGGTATTCTCTACCTATCCATCAATGTTGGTCTTGGGTAGAGAGAGGTGACCCCTTTGTTGTTACTGGTTCAAACTTTTCTTGTGAGTATGATATCGATTATTTCGGCATCTAAGTGCCTTATACTCAAACATTGGCTTGAAGTAACGAACACCCTTTGTGTTTTTAAACCGATAATCATTTTTCGGCTAACCTAGTCTTCTCCTCCCCTCGGAACCAACAAGTGATTATGCCTATTGTGAGGTTTTATAGATTATTATATAATATACATTTCTTTCTGTTTCCAAAATAAGGAAGAAACAAATGCCAAAATAACATTTCCTTATATTAGAGGGAAGCATCCTCCTTGCAAATTAAAGCAAAAAATCTACTGTGCCCTGTGTTTTCTATGTCATTTGTCTTGAGAGTATCAAAACTCAAATGTGCCACTAGAATTATTTCATCCTAAATACTTATAAAGAATTGAATCTCCTGCTAGGCCAACAAGAGTCTCCAAAATTAGTTGTAGTTGCCAGGCCATTTCTAGATGCTAGGTGTAGCTTGGTCAAAGGCCAACTTGGACATTGTATTCAAATGTTCATCTATAATAAATTTCTATTTCTTATCAAAGCCTTTATTATTTCAAATGTTGCAGTATTTTAAAGCAATCAAAAACAAAATGAAATAAGTTGCCCCAACTATGAAGTGTACACAACAAAATATAGCGTATACCAAAATGAAGAAAAACATCACATTAAAACTAAATAAATTCCTCAACTTGCGAAAACTATAAATATATCCCAACGCCCATATTCCAAATTTACAGCACATGAGATTGAAATTTGTATTCTACTAATCTTATCAAAACAGCATGAATATGATAAATACGTGATAATTATTTTTGTACATTATAGTTCTAGCCTACTTCTGCATAATTTAATCTTTTCTTCTTTTTGCTGAATATATATAGCCGTTATTTTATAACACGGGCCTTTTGTTCTTCTCAAAATTTTAGTCAATCATTCACCCCAACTTTGAATATGCATCCTTTCTTTAGTTAACAACAATTCTCCTATATGGAGTGTGAACTAACATCTCTATAGAATCATTTTAGCTGGCCAGATATTCTCTGCCATTAATATTTAAAGAACTTTCATCGAGTGAAAAGATAGTTGAATATGTTTTGGGGAAAAACAAATTTGGATTCACATGCTGACAACTGAGTGTTTTTTCTAAATTTTGGAAATCTTAGTATGATGATTAGTTGGAGTGGGGACTTGAAAGAAATTAATGATATTAAGTAGACAATAAATAAATATAAGTCTGAACTAGAGTGTGTTAATGAAATGGAAAAGGTTCATTAAAATCTCACATAGGAGTAGTTTATATATTCCCAGTTGAGAAATTGGATTGGGCTTTAAGGGGTACCCAATTTTGTAGTTGAGTGAAAATACTACTATGGAATATTACACATGCGCCCGCCGCCATTTGATCGGCCGGCTCTGTTCGGTCCGGGCTCGGGCTTTGATCCAAACTTTTTGGTTTTGGGTCCCGAAATAAAGAAAAATTATTTAGTGATATTTATTATTATTAATTAATTTTCGTGAGTGGTGTATGTTAATTAATTATTAATTAATTATAAAATATTTTAAACGTTATTTTATCACTATTATTGATGATTATTCTGATTACGACGACACCAATTGGCCTCACTTTTAAAAAAAATTAATAAACATTGCGACGGTTATCAATAATTTACTCTAAAAATGAGCTCACGACGGAATGAAGAATAAAAGTGAAGCACCTTATATGTTTAAGATGTATTTAACTGAAATGAGAATCAACTTAGTAAGAAGATTAAGAGACTTCGTAGTGATATGGGAACTGAATATGATTCTGATTTATTTAATGATTTTTATAAAGAACATAGAATTGTACATGAAACGACTACTTCATATTCTCCTGAAATGAATGGTAAAGCAGAAAAAAAGAATAGAACTCTTATTAAACTTGTTGTTGCAATTATGATGAATTCAGGTGCTACACTTCACTGGTGGGGAAAAGTTTTATTGACTGTTTGCTATGTCCTGAATAGAGTCCTCAAGTCAAAAATTAAGATCGCTCCTTATGAGATGTTAAAGAAATGACAATCAAACTCATCTTATTTGAGAATTTAGGGTTGTCTGGCTAATGTCAGAATTCCGGATCTGAAACGAGTTAAACTCGCTAGTAGAGCATATGAATGTGTATTCATTGGATATGCAACAAACAATAAAGCATATGGGTTTTATGATCTAAATGAAAACGTGATTATAAAATTAAATGATGTTGAATTCTATGAAGACAAACTTCCTTTCAAATCGAGAAATAACGGGGGCACACAGTCGAGTCACATTCCTGTGATAAGAAGCACAGAAAAAAACGACAATATAGAAATAGAACTTCGACGAAGTAAAAGAGTGAGATTTTCTAAAGACTATGGGCCCGATTATGCGGCTTATAATGTAGAAGAAGATTCAACAAATCTTCAAGAAGCCTTGTCATCTTTGGATGTTGATTTATGGCAAGAAGCTATTAATGCTGAGATAGAATCTCTAGAATCTAACAAGACCTGACACTTGGTAGACTTGTCTCTTGGGTGCAAACTAATCAGTTGTAAATGAGTTTTGAAAAAGAAACTAAAACCTGATGGAACTATTGATAAATACAAGGCTCGCCTTGTAGCCAAGGATTTTAGACAAAGAGAAAATATATATTTCTTCGACACCTTTTCTCCCGTCATTAGAATTACACATATTAGAGTAATTATTTTAATAGTTTCTATTTATATTTAATAGTACACCAAATGAATGCTAAAATAGCTTTTTTAAATGGTGACTTAGAAGAAGAAATCAATATGGAACAACCGGAAGGATTTGTGATCCATGGACAAGAAAACAAGGTTTGTAAGTTAGACAAGTCTTTGTATGGACTAAAACAAGCTCCTAAGCAATGGCATAAAAAGTTTCATAACTTAATGATATCAAAAGGATATAAAGTGAATGAAAGTGACAAATGCGTTTATTATAAATCTGAGAATTGCATTTGCACTATCATATGTCTCTATGTAAACGATCTACTCATATTTGAATCAAAAATTCAGACTATTAATGATGTGAAATCATTGATGTGTAACAACTTTGATATGAAAGACCTCGGAGAAGCAAGTGTGATCCTTGGTATCAAAATCACGAGATCCGAACAAGGATTTTCTTTGGATCAATCACACTATATGAAGAAGATCTTAAAGAAATATAAATACTTTGATTGTTAACCTGTGTGCACACCATATGATCCAAGTGTGAAACTGTTTAAGAACACTAGAGAAAGTGTCATACAAACAGAATATACAAGTGTGATACGGTGGGAGAACTGACTTGGGTTTCGCGTTTGTTTTTGCAAATGTTTCGGTTGAGCAAGAGTCGCCACCGACTTTTTATTTTATCCTAAGGAAAGGTTAAAAAGTACAGCAAAAACCTTTGAGATGTTTTCTTGGGTTCGGGGAGTAGATTATAGAAAGGGAAGGTATTAGCATCCTTTCTATCCATGGTTATCCATGGGCTCTTAGTTACTTGCTTAGATCACTTACCTTGCATTTTCAATTGTTTGAAATGGTGCTTTCAATTGTTTGAAATGGTGCTTTGTGTGTGGGTTTGAAAATGTTTTGAAAAGAGGCCATTCTTGTGGCAACCTTTGTAATGATCCATGTTTGAATGCATACAAAGGTGTATTTGTCTTTTGAAAAGTTTTCAATGTTTTTGAAAGTTGTTTTGAAAGTGTGTTGTGATGTGTGTTTTGAAAAAATGGCAAGGATTGTTTTGCAAGTTGGTCAAGTAACCAAGAGCTATCTACCCTAAATTTATCAAAGATCTTTCATATGTTTTAACCCTTTTAACAGTATTGTTCCACCATTGTATTTGGTGGACAATCTTGTGTTAGGATGTTAACGGGACGGGCGCGGGTCATCGTTTAGACCAAGATTGCAATAGTGCCAAGTGTCTTTGGCAATTTTTCCTTTAAGGGACTTGATCATTTTTTAGGCAACTTTTGAAAGCGTCATCGAGGGACTATGATCATTTGATTTGTTTTGTTTTGCCAAAGAAACTCAACATGCAACATGGCCCATTATTGAAGGCAACAAGTGGAGTAACCCTAAGGGGTGCAAGTGTGATTGGTGTTGTCCATTTTCATGCTTTTTTGTCTTTGAATTAGGTCAAGCTATTTTTCTTTATTTGATTTTTGCATGCAAACCCTAGGTCTATCATGGCATAATTGGAAAGCTTTAAAATGCGAAAAATAAAATCCTAAATTATTACAACATAATTATGGGATGGGGGTACAAATGTTCAAATGGGGATATTTAGCAAGAAATTTAAATCTAAACTATTACAATCCAAATTGAATATACAAGTTATTTAATTATACAATAATTGAATAAATACAAATAAAGAATGAAAAATGTATTATGCACAAAAATGTTTTTATGTGTATGTAAAAAGTATTTTTCATGTGACCTATAAAAAATAAAAAAAAGTTAATTTTTGGGTATTTTAATGGTTTAGGGCAAAACCCTAATTTTGTAAATAAATAGTATTTATTATTTATATCATATACAATATTTATTAATTATATACAAAAATAAATAAAAGAGAAGTATATTATG